CGCCGGCCCTCGGCCATTTCCGCCGCCGCGCCGGAAACAGCCGACACGCCTCCCCGCGCCGCTTCGGCTCTTCCCGGAGCGCTTCGGGGCGCGGCCCTCACGGACTTCGAGTGTTTCCGCCTCCGCCGCGGAGCTACACGAAGCGTCCTTCGGCTCTTTCCGCCGAGCGCAGCGGGAGCGGCCGAGCGCCGCCCGCGCCGCCGCGGCTCCGAGCGGAGCCGGAAATACCCGAGTGGGGCCGAAACTCCCGAGTGGATGCGGAAATGCCCGAACACCTCTTGGCAGCCTTCGGGCGCTTCCGCCCGTGCCGGAAACACCCGAGCGGAGCCGAATCCCCCTCCCCAGCCCCGATGGGGACCCCAGGATGGGGCGGGGGGCGGCTCGGACCGCAGGACCCTCCCCGAGTTTGGGAGACTTTCATGGACCGCAGGAGGCCCCCCGAAATTGGGGGCTTCTCATGGCCGCAGGACCCTCCCCGAATTTGGGGGACTCTCCCGGACCGCAGGAGCCTCCCCGATTTTTGGGGGTTCTCCCGGACACCTGGACGCGCCCAGATTTTGGGGCTGGGTTCTCCCCGATTTTGGGGCAAGGCGCGCCTTGTCTGCACTGGGAGCACGGGGAGGGGCGTGTCCTCACCCCGCCACGCCCCCTTTGGACCAAAGGGGCGGGGCCGGGATGGGTGGGGGGGTCCATGGGTGCCCCATCGCTCGGGGCACCCCAGGGCGCTGCTGCGGGGTGGGGGCGGGGGAGCATCCAGGGGGACCCCCNGGGGGGGGGATGGGAAAGGCGTGCGGCCCCTTTAAATTTACCCAGGAGCCCTTAAAGGAGCCCCGGGGCCCCACGGCGGCGTCCCCAGCCCGGTCGGCCCCCGCCCGCCGCCGCCGCCGCCCCGGGCCCCGCCGTGGAGCCCCCGGGCCCCCGCCCCGCCCCCGGCCCGCTCCCGGCCCCGGCCGGCCCAGGTGAGCACCGAGAGGGCGGCGGGGGAGCGGGGGGCGCACAATGGGAGCGGCGCTGGCGCTTTAAGAAGCCCCCCGACCCCCCCCCCCCAGCCCTTTGCCGTTCCCTGTCATGGGGTGGGAGGTCCCGGATTCTTTAACGGGTTCCTGGCCCTTTAAGATGACCCGATTCAATTTAGGGTGTCCCGTGAAGATGCCTCCATCCCTCTAAATTAGCCCGGTCCCTTTAAAAGGTCCGCAGGACTTCAGGATGTGCCCATCCAATTCGGGATGTCCCTGAGCCTTTAAGGTGTCCCTGTCCCCTTAAAGGATCCCCGTCCCTTTCGGATGCCCACAGGAATTTCGGATGTCCCTGTCCCTGGAGGATGCGCCCCTCCCTTCCCCGCCCCTTCCTCATTTACGGACCCTGCCCCTTGAAGCGCGCTGCCCCTTTAAGAACCCCCTGCCCCTTTTAAGATCTCCTTTTTGCTGCTCTGTCCCTTTAAAACCCCCCGGCCTTGCCCCACATCTCACCCCTAATCCTCGGTGTCCCCTCCATCCCTTGGACCCCTCAAATCCCCCCTGAAATTCCCCCTGAACCTCCCCCGATTCCTGGACCTCCCTCCCCCGGCTTTCCCTGCAGCCCCTTCCCTGCGGGGGCTGCACCGGAGCATGGAGCCGCAGAAATCCCGGGAGAAACCCCAGGAGAAACTCCAGGAGCAGCCCCAGAAACCCCGAGAGAAACCCCAGGGGAAACCCCGGGAGAAACCCCAGGAGAAACTCCAGAAACCCCGAGAGAAACCCCAGGGGAAACCCCGGGAGAATCCCCAGGAGAAACTCCAGAAGCAGCCCCAGAAGCTCCAGGAGAAATCCCAGGAGAAGCCCCAGGAGAAACCCCAGGAGAAGCTCTGGGAGCAGCCCCGGGAGCAGCCCCGGGAGCGGCGGGCGTCGCGGCCGGGCCGGAGCCGGGTGCCGGGCCGGGACCACCGCCGGTACTACCACGAGCGCTGGCGCGCCGAGTACCTGATGGAGTTCAACGCGGCGCGGCGCGGCATGCGCTGCCTGGTGTGCGGCAGCGCCCTGGCCACGCTCAAGCTCAGCACCATCAAGCGCCACATCCGCCAGAAGCACCCCTACTCCGGAGCCTGGGGGCCCCGCGAGAAGCAGCTGGTGCTGCGCTCCTGGGACGCCCACCCGGGACGGACCCCCCGGCCCGAGGGACCCCCCGGCGGCGCCCACGGGACAGGTACGGGCCGGGCTGGGGGTGGGGAAGGTGGGGCG